AAAACAGCTTTCCAGCCAGTTTGTGTGTGAGTGCGTGTGTGTGAGAGTGCACAGGTGTGTGTGTGTGTGTTTTAATAGATTTTGATAGATTGTTTTGTTTAATTATATTTTAATTATTTGGTTAGTTATATTTTACATTTTGTATATAATGTAATGTTCCTTCACACACATTTGATATATTTATGTGTTCTTGATATTAACAGTTGTTAGCTATTTGAATCTTTAAACTTAAAAAAATCATCCGCCATATTTCAAGTCAAGTCACCTTTATTTATATAGCGCTTTTAACAATACAGATTGTGTCAAAGCAACTGAACAGCATTAATTAGGAAAATAGTGTGTCAATAATGCAGAAGGACAATAGTAAACACTAATTTTTCAGTTAAAGGCAGTTCATCATTGAGTTCAGTCAGGTGATCATCCAGCTCAGTTCAGTTTAAATAGTATCTGTGCAATCAAGTCAACGATATCGCTGGAAATGAAGTGTCCCCAACTAAGCAAGCCAGAGGCGACAGCGGCAAGGAACCAGAACTCCATCGGTGACATTACAGAGATGCAGATGCAACAGTTTCAACAGAGAGAAATAGACAGGCTCAGAAAAATGGTTGGTTAGTGAGAAGTGGGCCCGTTCAGTTTTTTTGTTTTTTTAAGTTTTTTTTAATGTTGTTCATCGTGTCGATTGAAGTTTTTTTTTTTTTTTTTACATAATATAGCATGTCGTTCACACACACTGTAACGTGCTATTGTGTAGTAGTATAGTACATCACAACCATATACAGTTATACTCCAAAAAATATTGATTCTATTAATTTTTCAATAAATAAACATTTTGAAACAGTTGTCATTCTTTCTTTCTTCAGAAAGATAATTCAGCTTTACTGTTGATGTACTTCAGTTTCTCAATTCCATCAATTGTAAATTCACCATCTTGCTCTTTTCCTTGTCCACTAGAGGGCAGCAGAGATGTTACAGTGTGACACTCCTCCGGCACTGCTCTCTCCATCATCGGCTCCAGAATAGAGAGCCTGCATAAAGTCTCATGAAGTTACAGATAACTAAGTGCTGCCTTTTTCGCAACGTAACGCGTACTTCCAGTGTGAATTGAAATGTGTTTGTGGGTTTCATTAGGCGGCCGCATGTCAAACATTACAGTGCCGTAGTGAACTACCTGTCGTCTTCCGCTGGGGTGTGTCTCCAGAAGTGCACATCAGAGGAGCGGAGCCCGGCTGTCAATCAAAGTGGAGTTGTTGATTCCGCCGCATCATCTGCCTAGTTCGGAGTGTCACCGTCGATCGGTCGAGAATCAAGGTAAACAGAGAGAGAAAAGAGATAAACATCTTTGGTTTCCGATATCTGCGTTGAATGAAATGGCTATTCCACAACACATTCACGCACTTGCATTTTTGAAACTCTGTGCCAGTCCATAGCATGTGAACGGCTAAAATAGTCAGGCGACGTGTAACAGTTACGTTGACATTTCATCTTTAATCAAGCGCTTTTTTTATCCCATTACTCTGCATGTAGTTGGGGCGTGCTTTTAGTGCAGACAATCGAGCATCTTAAACTCTCCGTGCGTCTGTTGAGGTCGACCACAGTAGGCTATTACAATGTAATATGCTGCAGAACACTCACAAATGAGAACATTTCAATACAGAAACGATGGGACTGATTTATTATCCTTTTACACCAGTGACGACATGCTTATAAAGGGGTTGTCGATATGTGATCGATTATCGCTGAACAAACGCACGCGCATGCGCTATTCTGTTGTTTCCCTACCGCTAGTCGAATACACGTTAACCTAAATCTAAGCACTCGCTAACCCAAAGCAAACCTTATCATTACTCTAAACCCCCCCACACACTTTATTGTATTGTTTTTGCATATAAGGAAGTAAACTCAAGGATGCAGGACACGAACTAAAATTTTTTGATTTAATCATTTTGTGTAAATCTACATTTACAGCTTCAGATTGTTTTTTCCAACCATATTAATTTCACAATGGTCTAGTCCAAATATGTACTTTTGTTTTATTATTACAGTGTATACTTTTTTTTCCCCTTGATTTACCCTAGCAGAATGCAAGTAAAATGTGACAACATGTCCCATATTTGCGGCACATTGTTACCTGACCGTAGGACAGCTAAAAAGAAAAAGTTATCCGAGCCTATGGAAAAAAAAATTAATTTAACTTTTTCCAAGTAAAACTGTGTTTAAGAATTAAAAATCCACCGATTCTGTAGTTTGACAATGAACAGGCCTGATTGCAGCACACAGCTGTACAGTAAGTTCAAAGCAATATGGGCATGGAGATGAGAAAACATCCAGATATTTTGGCACAATTTTTTGAATCTGTAAAGTGTTGATAAAGCAACGAGTAAGTAGTGCACATTGCAATGCTTTCATGTGTGGAAAGCTTGAATGTCATTTTTTATGGTTTGTGCCCCGCTCTCCCTTAGCTCACTTTTAAGTGCGCGTTCTTCCCCTAAATGTGGTCAATGATCTACGCACACATACAGTTTCCACGAGATATTTCCAATTATAACTTTCTGTTCTGTGTCTACTCATCAGGACAATAAAAAGATGAGCAGCTCTGAAGGAGATGACCTGGACCTGTCTTTTGAGGAGGTGTTAGTCGGTCGAGTCAATTCTTTCAAGAGATTTGCTATTGAGCAGCTTTCTGATGTGAAAAAAACACATAAAAGCCTGCAGGAATCATTAAACAACACAACAATGATAAGCGACATGGCTGCAGTTAAGGCTGAGCTCAGCGCCTTAAAATCTCGCGTAGCAGACCAAGACCAAAAGATTGAGGAGTTGAGGAAGCAGCTGGAAGAAAAGGGCAGCAGTGCTCCTGCCCACTCCGGAGGCCAGAAGAGACCAGCCTCCTCACCAGATTGGACTCCAGAACGGAAGCAGAGACGGTCTGAAGAGCTGGACAAGATCCTGGAGCCAATCTGGCCAGAAAAATCCGATGCCCGTGAGAAGCTGACTGAAAGGCAGCAGGCCTTCTTCAGCTACATGACGGACCAGCTGAAAATCAAAGGTGAGAGCGCTTTAAGCCTCTTAACTGTTTGACAGGTTCTTTCAATAGAAGTCAAGTCACGTGAAACGAAAAACAACCTCCTGATATTTCTGTCAGATCGGAGAAACCTGGAGATGAACGTGGCGACGGTGCTCAACGAAGGAGTTTTCAGGGGCGTCTGGGAGGAGGAATGGACTCCTGCGGGAATTAAAGCAACATTCAAGCAATACCTTGTAGAAAAAATAAGAAATCACGTGAAAAAGCTCCTCAAGAGGACCAGTGAAAAGTCAACAGACTGAATAAAAAAAAGAAAAATATTGATCTTCTTTTGTTAGTTTATATTATATATATTATATTTGACTATTTTGTATATAATCTTAAATTGTAACACACATTATATATTTATATTTATTTGTTCTTGATAATTACAGTTGCTTTTTTTGTTTGTTTTTTGAATCATTAAACTGCTTTGTTCAAATCAGTTTTTACATGTATTCTCATTACTTTCTGCTTGAGCAAAGAATGTTGAAGCTCATTACTCACTGCACCTGCACTATGTACACATTACAATGTAACTGTAATGTTCATAAAGTGTACTTTTCATTTAAAGAGGATCGATGTCAGATACTGTCAAATATTTCCTCATTTCCATCCAGCATTAATACACAACACAACTACGCTACAAAATTATGTGATTAAACCGAAAAGGGCTGTTTAGGCGTTTAACCTTGATTATTTGTGGACTGCTCTAAAACAAATACCAAAGGGCAGTTCAATGCAAGTACTTTTACCTTAAGTTGGACTGTTATTTAAATTTAAAATGTAACAACAAAAAGAACCATAGAATGCAAATATTTCACTTGTGTGTTAGGACTGCTCTAAAACAAATACCAAAGCGCAGTTCAATGCAAGTACTTTTACCTTAAGTTGGACTGTTATTTAAATTTAAAATGTAACAAAAAGAACCATCGAATGCAAATATTTCACTTGTGTGTTAAACTAAAGACAATGCATCCATTTAGTCAGTTTGGCTGAAAAAAATGCATACAGTGAACAGTCCCTCCCTGCTATGGCCAGTCACGACTTTACCTGACCGTCAGTGTCTCAAGTTGTCCACCAGAGGGCAGCAGAGCCCTTTTTAATGTGAAGCCCCCCGATTCTGTTCTCTGTTATCGCCTAATTTTAACAGAAATGCAGATTATTAAAGTTATTATCATCTTTATGGATAGACGGCGTGTCAAGCAACACCACTGTCCTTCAGTCTAAAATGAAATGCACTTGTGCTTTGCTGAGAGGGGGAAAACATCAAGTGCTCTTCAGCAGTGCCCACAGGTGTCAGTTTAAGCTATATTATAGGGGACACTGTGGATTCACACTAATTCCCATCCCCCTCTGTGACCTGTGACCGTACTGTAAATCAAACCTGTTGACTTGCGCTGCTGTTCGGTCACTGACACAATCTTCTGCTGATCAAGGTAATAGACAACTCGCTCATTTTCCATATTTACATGATATTTATCGTTATGCCTGTACATATGCATTCCCATTTTAAAGCATTTTTTTTAAAGAAAATTAACGTTATTTAATAATGCGAATAGCTCATTAGTGGTACTCACTGCCTTTTGGGCATTATACAAAGTAAGAAATCGAATGCACTTTTTAAAAGTAATATTTATGTAATCATTGTAAGGTGTAACATTTGAAAATCAATTTTGATCTAGCTCGGGTTATTACATTTATCAATCTTATGGTTTAACACTGTAAAGCTGCTTTGACACAATCTGTATTGTATAAACGCTACATAAAGGTGAATTGACTTGAATTCATGATTGTCTGACTAAACGCATTGAGAACAAGTAAAATATTGCCTTTAAGAATTCCTTTTTTATTCAAAATTTCTCTATCGAAAATACAAAAGTAAGCTACTTGATTGCGGATATTAAAAGCAACAGTACTGAAACAACTTTTATTGTAGCAAACCATGGTTTGACTCTAATATTTGTATGCCCCCCTACCTTCAGCAGACGATTTTTTACTCATGTGTGGCAATACATATGGTCTTGTACATAGTTAATTGAAACATTTAATATGCTCTTCCCATATAAAACTAAATAAAAATGTCTAATATGCCATCTAAATTTACTTTTATGGATGATAATTATGTTTTATAATGATTTTTTAATCAAATAAAAGATAAAAGAAAAAGCAATACAGTGCCAACAGTAAATTGCATAAAAGACAATAATGTGATTGATAGAAAGCAATGCAGTTCAAACAAAGTCTTTTGCATGGTTATAGTGGAAACTTTAAATGTGTGGGAAGCACATTACAAAATGTCATTTGAAAATTTAAATTGAGTAGGCTTATTTTGGTTGTGTGATATCAGTGTTCTGTTACATTATATGTATAGGTATAGGCTATATCAACATGTTTTAATGAAATTCATGCAAGTACCACAAACATTTTAGTTGTCACAACTCACAATAAAACTAAAATTAATTTACATCCACACTTCCTGTATAGATTATATTAAGGGCCATAATAATAATAATAATAAGCACTGTGAAGACACACTTTTGGAACCTTTATTTTTAATAATTTACAGCTGATTTGCTTTAGTCAGAACCCACAAAGACAAAATTATATATGATGAACAGTCCAAATTCTATATACAAGGCCCCTTTACTAAACTACTCCTAAATGTAGCCATCATAGAAAATTCTGAATTGTATGTACAGTTGTTATTCACATAAAATAATTTTATAACGTGTGTACACACACACACACACACACACAAACTACCAAATGATCGCAACATAAATGCATTGCTGTTAATCATGTTCACCATTTGTTTGAATATTTGTCATTACACTGCATGATTGTACTGCACAAGACTGCTATATGGACGTCACCTTGACACCACCAATAAAGTACTGAATCTATTGTAGAAACTTTAATTTTTTGTCAAGCTTGTTTGCAACGATGTGTGTCATGAAAAGCGCTATACAAATTAATTTGAATTGAATTTTATACACACACACATATCTATATCTACATAGATTAAATGATAGATAGATAGATACACACACATATAAGCTTTGTACTCATTTTTATTAGACATTGTCAAATGTTTTGCATTTTCAGTAATCATGAGAAGATATATTGAAAGAAGATATGCAGAAGTGAAAGAGAATATACTGCAATTAATTAATGAAAGCCATTCAGATGTGCAGAGACTTCAATGTCTTCTGGATTATGGGACATCTCAATCAGAAAGCAGTGAGTTAAAATGAGATGACAATATTATTACATTTTGCACACACATTGTTTGGGGAAGGAAAAAAAAACACAGTGGAAAATTTACTGTATGTTGGGTTTAACCCTAACTGAATTGAAATATTTATCTTTAACTTTCCTAAATTGTTTTGAACAGCAGATGGAGCTTTTGTCAATGAAGGGTGTGATATGGATGGGCAAGTCACGAGTGGGATTTCAGAGGAGGTATGATGATTGCATTATTAATTTAAGCCTACAGTTTGCAGTCATGTTGTATGAATAAAACACATCATTACCTCTTTTATCTTCTTTGCCAGGTGGAATCATTATACATAAGAAAGCTGCTGGAGGACAAACCCATGCTGCTACCTTTCGCGGAGGACCAGGCAAGATTGACGTTCCTCAGCACCATAAAGGACGTGCCCAGACATCTGTTAGAGAGATTGCAAGCTGCCCATGCCCGTGGAAAACCCAAGGGCAAATTTAAGTAATCTTGGGTGGCATTTCAGGCCGAGATGGCTTTAGAAGTGTTCTTCTGGGGCCGGCCAGGCAGCATGTATGACTCTATTTTTGCTGTTAATCTGGGTCCGGGTCTGGACAATGAACGCAGTCTAACATGGCAGAGAGGGATTATGGGTTTGGCACCCTTCAACTCTGCAGCAGTTGACATGAATCCACCACCACTTTCATACTGGTCAAAGAAGGATCTGCAGACCACAAGGATACAACGCTTGTTTGGGTTTATGGACAGTTTTGAGGCAGCATACCCAGTCACTAGCACAGAGCTTTTGAAGCTAATTCTCTGTGACCTTGGTGAGACTACCGAAGTGTCTGTAATGAGTTTAGCAAACATCAGTCCTCCAGCACACTGCAAGTGCACTGGCACTATCAGCAGAGAACAGCTCTTAGAGGAGTTGGTGGAGAAAATAAAAAGGTTCACGTACCCGTCCACAGCAAAAAGAGCAGCTGAACTCTTAGAAGAGCATGGCAAGCCTCTAAGAGACATCCTGAGATCAGCTTTGGCATTCACTGGCATTCAGTACTTTCCAGCTATGAAAGTGATTGACTCGGCTCGCAATCCAAAAGTATCCTGGAACAAAAAAGACATGCTCAATGTTTTGGCACCACAACAGAACCCTAGCCTAGATGCAATAGCTGCAGCAGTGGAGGGTGATGTAATTGTCAACTTAGTGAGCCGTGGACTTACATATGAACGAAATCTTGCATCAGCGAAAGCCAATGGAATGCCCTGGATGAAAGATGTGCTGGCACGCTTGAAACAGGAGAACTTAGACACACGTAGAAACTCTGGAGACATTCATCCACCTGCCAAACTCAAGCAACACACACCTGCTGAGACTGAATGTTCTGCATATGAAAACAGCCCTCAGAAGGTTTCTACAGCTGCTAACATCACAAAGACAATTTTGAGTTAAACATCGCAAGGATGAACAATCACCGAACAAGTGACCCCATCGGATTCACTTATGTGTGACCCATTGCGGTCAAATGGGCGACTGTAAGGATAAAAGAAACTCAGGAAACTCAGATACTTTGATCTCCTGAGAAACAGACAATACACTGGCACCTTCAAGACACCCCACAGAGGGGTGGTGCAGGAAACGCCTCTCTCACATATGCATCAGTGCCTTTTCATCTGCTCCCTCCACTGGATTCACTCAGAATGGTCAATAGTATAATGTTCTATATGAATGCAAATAAGATTTACAGTCATGTTTGGTTTCATTTGAATAGTGTCAGGGTGAGTGGTACAATGGTCTTAATCTTACAAAAGCAGACTACTCCCAGGTCTTTCACACAAATTACCTTCTGTTCCCATTGAGGTGTAAACTAGCCACCCAGATTCCAATTGTTAGTACATGTCTCCATTTGGGGGGTGTTTTATCTTGGTTTTGTATTTAAAGGATTGCAGCAAAAGGGTCGGGGCGATTCTGTAGCCAGAAAGCCCGTGGTATGGAATGTGTCCACACACTCAATACTATGTATTTTCCTAAAGTCAAGT